ACGCGCTGCCCGAAGGCGGCCGGGTCGGGGCGCGAGTGGCGGGCCCGTGTGTCCCGCATCGCCCCGGCTCCGCGCCCGCGACAGCATGGCCTTGATGTGGTCTTAGCACGATGCCCCCCATGAGTGCGGGGCACTTGCGCCCTCGCTACATGGCACCGCCCAGGCCCACCACCGCTCCAGGACACTGCCAGGCATCAGCTGCGCCACGCCGTGTCACCCCGTGCCACACTACAGCGAGCCATGCCGTGCCCCCCTACACTACACCATGCCATGCCACACCACACCACGCCATGACGTGTCATGCTGTGCTGTGCCATGCCGTGCCACATCAATTTGGGTTAGATATTAGGAAGACTTCTCTCACTAGGAGGGTAGTGGACCACTGGAGCAGGTTACCCAAGAGGTGGTGGACCCCACCCTTGGAGATTTTCAAGACCCAGCTAGATAAACCAGGGATGATGTATCTGGGGCTGGAGTAGGGGGTTGGACTAGGTGACCCCCAAGGTCCCCTCCAACTGATTCTCTGATTCTGAGCCACACCATGCCATGCTGTGCCGCACCTCGCCTCTGCCGCACTAGGAAACATCACACCCGGCATGTCCAGCGTCGCCCAGAACTCACCATTTCCTTCTTCTTCGCCCACAAATCCTGACTTCCAGCAATGGCTGTGCAGCTTTGCTCTGCCTTTGGCGCTTTCAACATGTCTTTTCCATGTGTCTCCTGGGTCAGACCAGAGCTACCATTGGTCTGACCCAGTTTGACACTGCTTCCGTTCTTATTTTTACACAACGGGTAGTTAATTTGTGAAATTCATTGCTACAGGGTGGGAGAAGCAGAGAGCGTTGCCAGATTCAAACAGGGACTGGACACATTTCTGGATGATAGGCCTATTAATGGCCATTGAGTCAAATGGTTGGAGATGTTTCCTTTGGCATCTCTAACCCAGTAAATGTTGGATGCCAGGGAAGGTACTGAATAGGGAATAGATCACTCTAGAGATATCCAGTTCAGTGCTGTCACTGCACATAAAACAAAAAGCCCTTCTGAGTTGCTGCTTGATGACAGGGCAGCAGGGATGGGAGCATTAAAAAAGTGTGTGTGTGGGAGGGGGTGCCACTGTTGGAGACAGGCCTATTTGGTGCACAAAGGAAACCATGGGCAAGGCTCACAAGGAAATGGTTAGCCCCCCTGTCATTAGAGGGGGTCAGTGAGTGTGTGCCAACACGATTCGTCAGCCAACTGATGCAAAAACAAGGACAGGAGTGAGGGTCAAAGGTTAATAACAAGTGCTCCAAGGGGGGACACCGAATAGAGCACACCAGCCAGCGCCCACTGGCCCTCGAACAAGTCCAAGGAGCCAGTGCCCACTGCCCAGTGAAATTCTGCCCAGCGACATGAATGGATGAGGGACAGGAAGACGGTCCCACAGTCACTGGTGGTCCTCTTGGCCAGAGCCTCCTTCCTGATCAGACAGATGGCCAGCTTAGCTAGGGCCAGGGAGATGTTTACCAGGAGTTCCTGGTAGTTGGTGGGGTCATGGACTGGGAGTACTTGTTGGAAACAGGCCTATTTGATGTGCCACTTGGTCATGGGACAAGGCCCATCACAGGAAACTATAAGCCTCCCTTAAAAAAGGAGGCCACTCAGGACACGTCAACTAAATGAGTGGGACAACAAAAAAGAAAACTGGAACAGGAGTGATGTCATAAGTTAATAACTAGGGCATCAGAAGTGGACACTGAACAAAGCGCACCGGCCAGCACCCACTACCCCTTGAAGGAGTCAAGAGACTGTCAGAGAGGGGATACTGGGCTAGATGGACCATTGGTCTGACCCAGTATGGTGCTTATGTTCTTATGGCAATCAGGCTGGCCAAATGCACTGAGTAGGGTATTTGTGGTCCTTGTTGATGGAGCTGTCACTCCCACAGCTCCCTAATATTGCCTAGTGATTATTTCTGCTCCTCTACAAATCAGTCCTGCTCCCCAGAGCCTACATCCACTGTACCTGGCCCCTACCCACCATCCATTCAGGTGCATTACCCTACATATGCCCAACACATACATTTCTCCAGCTCTCAACAGCTTTCCATTTTACCTCCATGACCTTCCTTCTTCGTGTTTGTCATTCAAGAGGCCTGGGGTGGGCACTTGAAGCAAAATCCCTGCCCCCATTCCATGCTGCAGGGTGGGTAACTCCCAGGTTTTTTCAGTCCCAGACTGAATTGTGGGGAGATATGTGGAGAAGCAAAGGAGCCATCCCTGTTGCTCACAGGAAATATGTAGGGGGTGGAGGGAACAGAGTAGCTCTGAGCTGTTTGGATCTTCCTGCTTCCTCCTCCTTTCTACCTTCTTCTGAGAACCATGTGAGGCTGCTGAGGGGAGGAGAGAGTTTATCTGCCCCCACCAGCAGCTTTGATAGGATGCTGTGACCCAGGAGGTGGTCAAGAGGGGCAGGCAGCCAATCTGAGAGGGTTTCACTGCCACCCATGCCACTCAGCAGACATACCACTGCCATACCATGATGCATCATGTCACTACACTGGCACTGTCAGACTGCCATGCTATGGGTCTATTATGCCACAGAACTACCAACTTCACTTACCTCCATGCTGTGGCACTGTAAATATCAGCCATATCATGATGCCATGACTCTAACTTGCCACTGACCTTCTGTCTTTGTGACAAGGGCATTGCATTAACAG